GGGCCAGTGAATACCCCTGAGCTTGACTCTGTAGGAACAATGGGGACTAGGCTCCTAGTCTCTCCACTGGTGAACAAATAGGACCGTGGCAGGAGATTTAAACCCACCAACGGGACCGGGGGAGTGTTCCCAGGTGTGTATATAGTTGGCTAGCCGGCCGTTAGTCTTTGTCTTTGTTATGTACCAATAAACCATGCTGATCACCACACCAGGATCAGAGATTTCTACATGCGTCTAACCCACTACACTTCAATGGTGACGAGGATGGGATCCCGTTGAGCAAGCCAGCCGGGCTTTCGGGACTCTGCGAGGGAAGACAACACACCGCTACCTACGCTCTTTGAATGATGAGCAACGAGGGTGAGCAAGCCGCTTCCCAGCCGCAGCAGCAACCGATCGACACAATGGCCGTTGCTCCGGGGTCTGGGCTGGTGCTGCCATTTGATACAGCCCATCCACAGCAATGTGGAGCCTGGATCACTGGCCTGAAGTCAGTCCTGGTATTCTACCAGGTGACGGATGAGGCCACGAAGAAGGGCCTCCTACTCGGGTCATGCGGACCCGCCATCATAGAACTGGTCCAGTACCTCCTCTCCCCTAAAAAGCTCGATGACTGCACCTTCAACGAAATCATCACGGCCATCCAGAACCACTACACGCCAAAGCCTTCAGAGATGACATGTCACGTGGTGTTCCACCAGCGGAGTCAGCAAGCCCACGAAACTGCCGCGGAGTTCCTTGCGGAGCTCCGCCGCTTGGCCTCTTAGTGCACATTCAGGGCTCACTTGGACATGGTCCTTCGAGACCGTTTTGTCACAGGACTACGGGAGGAGAAACTGTGGTGACGCATAATGGAGGGTGATCGCCACCGTCACAGCATGGGAAAGGTCCCACCCAGCATCCTCCTGGTATTTCCCAACCTGGAGTTGGCAACCTTATTCCTCAGTATTCTCCTGGGGTAGAGATCTGACTGAAGTAGCCTATCGGTAATTTTCTCCATCATCAGATGCTCCCAAATCTTTGAAAACCATATATCTATCAATGGTAGTGAAGGATAGTTCCAATATGTTGCTAACACTGTTTTGGCAGCTGTTAATAGGCTCTGGATGAGGTCCCTTCTAATTCTGGGAATCGAAGGATCTTGATTATGTTGTAGAAAGTTGAGTTCCGGGAGTAAAGGAAGTAAGTATCCTGTAATTTGTTTGATATGTGCAATAATGTTACTCCAGAAGGTTCTTATTCTTGGGCATTGCCAGGATTCCAAAATCACTACTTTCGAACTGGGGAGTGATGTGGAGAATCTTCAGCGCCTACAAAATGTAGGTCTGAACTGAACTGATCTGAACAAAATGTAGGTCGTCTACAGTGATCAGTCATCCTGATGTGTAGTATGTGTAGTTAGGGAAGGGCATATGTGCTTCTCTAGCTCCTGTGCAGGGACATACTGCAGGAAGAAATGACCTGGACAAACACTTGTCAGGGATACTCTAGGACAGGCCCATAGCCAGGATTTTTTTTTTAAGTCAGGGGGCATTTACATTTCTTAGAGGGCTCTGACTAATCGAATGGAAGGAATACCCGGCTCCTTCCCTGCACCTACCGCCGCTTGGGGGCCCAGGGCTGGATGGGAAGTCGGGGGGCCTAGCCCCAAAATGCCCCACTGTAGGGCCTGCTCTAGGATGCCCTGGAGGATCTGCTCTAGGATGATCCTGCATTGAGCAGGGAGTTGGATTAGATGGCCTGTATGGCCCCTTCCGACTCTGTGATTCTAGGATTCTATGACCCAGTGGTGGAATCCCAACAAGTCAATGCTTGGGCCTCTGTGTCCTGTATGTAGGCCCTCCAGGGCAACCGGTTGACCAATGCATGAGACAGGGTGCCGGAATGCATGGAGCGCTGATCCGATCCAGCAGGGCTGTTCTTAAGGCTAAGACACCCATGATTAGGGATGTGCATTCAGTTCATCTGAACCAAATGCACCCCCGAAAATGGTCCATTCGAGTCCCTTTCGGGCTGCTGTGGGCCAATTCAGATTCTCTTATCTGAATCGTCTTGCCGCCAAATTGCCGCCGAATTTCGGCAGTAATTCGACCCCATTATATCCTATGGGCTCTTGAAGTCTAAGGCAAAAACATAGGGTATATTCTGGGGGCTGGAGGGGAAGGGGTTTGAGGGAGAGGCTCCAGCAGCTACCCTGCGAGTTTGGAGCCACTCTCCAAGATACCCACTAAGTTTCAACAACATTGAACCAGGGGGTCCAATTCTATGGGCCCCCAAACAGATTGCCCCCATCAACTCCATTGTTCTCTATGGTGGGGGGGAAGTAACTTGTTTTCCTATGGTGACTGTCAAATATTTATATGAAAAAAAAGAAAAGAAATTGTGAATATTCTTGATTTTGGAAGCTACACCTTTTCTCCATTCCTGAATCTAATATTGTGGTCGCTTTCAAGTTTGTGATAAACTCACTCTCTGCACCACCCAGCTGAATAACTTGGCCGGTCTATGGCTGTGATCACACGGGCAGTCTGGCCCGACACAGCCCCTCGTCCCCTCCAGATCAAATGGGGGTAGTCAGACAGCCACATCTGTCAGGTGTTCCCCAACCATACTTATCCCGTCACAGGACGACTTGGAGCGGGGTTAAAAAGGCACCACATCACAAGGGGTGTTTTCAGTTCCCTGCACAGTCATTGCGCATGGCCGGATGTCTGAATGCAGGGGAGCGTGCACAGAATGGATTTGGCAGTCTGAACCTGCAGATCCATTCTGCCACTAGGGAGGTGTTTTTTTAAAAAAATCCCTATGTGCGCATGCGCACATATGCACAATTATGTGTTCATGCACACTATGCACGCACATGAATTTTTTGGGGAAATTGCAGTGCGCTCCATGGCTGAGGTGCTACAATAATGTGGATGCTTTACCATAGGATGTCTCCATGGGTAACTTGCAGCAGGGTGTGATGTGTGGCTGATATGCTTCGAAGCTTAGTCTATCAAGGACAGGTCCCACATGAGAGATGGTTTAAGGAAATAAGGGCGAGATTCTATATTAAACGTAGCAACTCTTGAGGAGAGTCTTTAGAAACCAGGAAAATAACATTGCAACATAAAGAAAACTTATACACAATACTAGTTAAGTTGCTTCTGAGGAAGTTAAGAGACGAAACCAAGCATAAGCCGGCTGCTTTGTCAAGCTCTACATTCTTTTGACTGTTAACAGCACATGTTTTGGAATTCCACTAGTATCTTCTGGCTGTTGGCAGCAATTGTTATTCTGTTGTATTACTGTGTTATTGTATAACATTAAGATATTGTATGATTAGGTTGTTACCTTGTGAATATTTTGTATACTTAGATATTAATATCAAGTATAAAAGTAATTGTATTAGCATACATAACTAATGTTCAAGAGTGTATTATTGGACTGATATTGGCCCCAGTTTTGTTGTTTTGGCAATTATGAGTTCATGCACACTATGCACGCACATGATTTTTTTGGGGAAATCGCAGTGCGCTCCATGGCTGAGGTGCTGCAATAATGTGGATGCTTTACCTTAGGATGTCTCCATGGGTAACTTGCAGCAGGGTGTGCTGTGTGGCTGATATGCCCCACAATACTTCAAACCAGTTCAATTAGAGGCGGCACCATATCACACCAAGCCACCAGTGTGACCACAGCCTATATCTGCATAAGTCTCTCTAGACCACAGTTAAAGTATACCCTGATAAGAACAAGGCACATTCTGCACAATGAAAAAAAGACATCAGGCAACAGATATATTTCCTGATGACTTCAGGAAAAAAGACATCAGGCAAGAGTAATGATGCAGTCTCAAGTTTTATTGTGGAAAGGGGGGGCTGAAAGGGATCTAGACAAAACAGAGCTGTAGATCTGACAATAAGAACAGGGAGACTTTCCCCACTCAGTCAACGTATTTTACAGGAGCATAATAAGCAGTGTTTAGGAGAAGATGGTCGCATCCATGGGAAACGTTGTAAGCAATATTGTAAGAAAGAGCAAGGAGCCGAGAGTAGCAGAAGAAGAAAAAATGTAACCAACCAAGCCTGGTACTGAGAACCCAACAGATCCCACTAGTGAAAACAGGAGACGGTGGGTGCTCAACAATTCCAAAGCTCAGTATGTCATGTCCACTCAGAGTTTTAGACTGTCACCTTGTTTTCATTTCATTCTTAACACCCGTGTTGACAACAGCCAGAATTTAACAAGGTCCACAAGGATCACAGGCACCATAACCCCAACCACTGTAGGGCAAGCACCTCTGGCCACCATATAAGTATTGTTCCATCTATAGTGCTTTACCTTGCTTCCCTCTATAGTGATTGACAGGTATTTGGTGTAGTGCTTAGAGAGCTAGTTTGGTGTAGTGGTTAGGAGTGCGGACTCTAATCCGGGTTTGATTCCCCACTCCTTTGCATGCAGCTGCTGGTGTGACCTTAGGTCAGTCACAAGTTCTCTGAGCTGTTCTCTCAAGAGCAGTTCTCGCAAGAGCTCTCTCAGCCCCACCTGCCTCACAGGGTATATGCTGTGGGGAACGTAAGGAAAATGAGATCATAAGTGAGACTCTTTTGGGTAGTGAAGGGTGGGGTTTAAATCCCATCTCTTCTGCTTCTTTATATGAGGAAAAAAGAAATGGGGGACATGCTTGTTTTTTTGGAAGAAATCCCCACGCACACACCTTTCCTCAACCCCTGAATCTAATATCGTTGTGTACCCTTTCTACTGTACATACACTGATAAGACCAAAGAGAATTCTGAACCATTAACAATTAAAGAAAAAAAAGATTATACAAGGGAGATGATGCAGCATTAAACTTTATTGTGAAAAGGGTAAAGAGAGGGACCCAGACAAAGTACCCTCTATCAGTTTGACAATAGAAAACAGAACAAGGAGACTTTCCCCACTCAGTCAACGTATTTTACAGGAGCATAATAAGCAGTGTTTAGGAGAAGACGGTCGCATCCATGGGAAAGGTACTGAGAACCCAACAGATCCCACTAGTGAAAACAGGAGACGGTGGGTGCTCAACAATTCCAAAGCTCAGTATGTCATGTCCACTCAGAGTTTTAGACTGTCACCTTGTTTTCATTTCATTCTTAACACCCGTGTTGACAACAGCCAGAATTTAACAAGGTCCACAAGGATCACAGGCACCATAACCCCAACCACTGTAGGGCAAGCACCTCTGGCCATACCTTCTGTAACCACCATATCCTAGCCTTCCGTAGCCCCCCCAAGCTCCCCCAGAATACAGAGGGGAGAGTGCTTGGGAACCCTGTCCTGAATACCCGGTCGCACATGGTGTGTACGCAGCGACTGCAGCAGGCTCGCAAGTCGACAGAACTGGTCCCGGGATGGTCACCACAGAGGGAGGCGGCTGGATGACGACTTCAGACCCCGGAAGTTGACTGGCACAGGCGACGTTGCCACCGGACTGGGCTCCAAGACCGGACCAGCCTCCAGACAGGGTTCCAAGACCGGACCAGCCACCGGACAGGGTTCCAAGACCAGACCAGCCACCGGACAGGGCTCCAAGACCGGACCAGCCACCGGTCCCACAGACGGAGCCAAGGCCGTAGGATGGCAGCCGTCCGCTATATGTAACACCTCCATAGCATGATCCAACACCGCAAGCGCCTTTGGAAGCAGGTCCACAGTAAGACATCTTGATGTGGTAGGGTGAAATCTGGAAAAGAAAATAACATAAGTGAAGAAGGCACAAAGCGATCTCCATAGGAATGAGCTAAAATGATCTCTTTTTTTGCAGGTGTTCCTGGCACTGGAATATTTATTTATTTATTTATTTATCGTATATCCTAGTTATGTGCAGAATACATGAAAAACCCTCAGCCAAGGGCTGTGACTCTGCAGCACAGGACCTGTTTGTTTATTTGAGGAATGTTTAGCCTGCCTTTCTCCTAAAAAAGAACCCAAGATAGTCTCAAGGCAGAAAATCCTAGCCCCAGTTTGGTGTCGTGGTTAAGTGCGTGGACTCTAATCTGGGAGAACCGGGTTTGATTCACCACTCCTCCACTTGCACCTGGCTGGATGACCTTGGGCAAGCCGTAGTTCTGATAAGAGCTGTTCTTGAAAAATCCTTGCATTACCATAAACTAAACCTGGGCCCCGGTCACATGGCAAAGTTGCCGCGGGAGAGGCACGGGAGTCCCCCGGATTTTCTGGCTGCGATCACACATCTGGGAAGCGCAGTGCTCCCGTGGCAAACCTGTGGCTCCCCGCCGAAGGTGCGGATTAAAAAACTAGTACTTACGAGGTACTAGTTTCCGGAAACCGCGGGCCAAGGGTGGACATCTGGTCATGTTTCCGGTGGACTTACGTGGCATCCGGCGCCTATCTTCGCAGGTTGCGCAACAGCGCCCAACAGCGCATGCACACAAAGAGCGATTGCTAGTGCGATCGTGCGGTGCGGCTTCTGTGCCGCGCTGCAGGATACCCGTTTGGTCGGCATCTCCACCCTAACCATGGGACCTCGACCGAGACGTGTGCTCGGGCAGCCGTGCATTAGTTTCCTCCGGGGCAATTAGCCACGCCTCCACCCACCCCCCGCGATATCCTGCCCGTGTGACCGGGGCCCAAGATTATTATGATTGCATTTCAGATGGGAAGATGGGAAGATGGGAAGATGGTCTGTGGTTGAGAGAGAGAGAGAGAGCCCAACCTAAGGTCTTCTACCAAGTTCATGGCAGAGAAAACATGTGAACCAGAAAGTCTGTGGTTCACAGCTCTATCTCTTCTCTCCACTCCAGAAGCTTGAGAGAAATCTGTTCCTGTTGTGAAAGGATTAAGGGGGGTGGGGGAGAAGCAATCAGTGCAAGGCACACATCTTGCAAAAAGGCAAAAGGGGGATAAGGAAGGTGAAGTGATACTACGATCAAGTTCAAAGAGATTGCATCCGTTCAGACTTACTTGGTTCTCTGAGGAGAAGAGGTCAGAAAGCGACAGGCAGAGGAGAGAAGCTGATGGAGTGGCAAGGAGGTAAAACCTCTTTTATACTGCCCTGCTGGCAGTATTGTGGGAGTGCGCACTACCCACCCCTGAATCTTGGTCTAATTAGTACCTACGGGAAAGGGGCTATATTGATGAATCATGCATCGAGTTGCTCCTGATTATGTTTACTTCCTTTTCCTTTAGCACCCATTAGACTATCTGCAGTATGCTGTGTCATCTCATTGCACCCTATAGTTAGAGATGGACATTATTGCATCAGCAAAAAAGAGAAAGAGCAAACCACTGTTATTCCAGTGTCCTGGATTGTGCACGGCTCTCAACCTGAATCATTGCCCTTTCTTACATGCCCTGGGGAATGCTGATTGCCACTTTGGGGTCAGGAAGCAATTTTTTTCTCCAGGCTAGTTTGGCTGGGGATCCTTGAGGTTTTTTGCCATGTTCTGGACATGGAGCAGGGGATCCTGGGGGTGTGGAGGGGGAGATAATTGTAAATTTCCTGCGGCTTACAATCTCCTTCCCCTCCCCCTCCCCACGACAGACACCCTGTGAGGTCAGTGGGGCTGAGAGAGCTCTGACAGAAATTGCTCTTTTTCAAGGACAGCTCTTATCAGAGCTAAGGCTTGCCCAAGGTCATCCAGCAGCTGCAAGTGGAGGAGTGGGGGAATCAAACCCGGTTCTCCCAGATTAGAGTCCGCTCACTTAAACACTACACCAAACTGGCTATGGCAGCTGTCAGGGAGGGGAAAGAGGAAACGGTGAAGGACGGTGAAATGAGATGCCCCTTGTGAGTCCTTGCACTTCCCCCATCTGTATTGCCCCAAAATAAATGGCTGGATAATTTGGATATTCTAAAAAGTAAAGGTAAAGGTTCCCTTGCTCGAAAGCCAGTCAAATCTGACTCTAGGGTTGCGGTGCTCATCTCCGTTTCAAAGCTGAAGAGCCAGCGCTGTCTGAAGACGTTTCCATGGTCATGTAGCCGGCATGACTAAACACCAAGGCTCACGGAACGCTGTTACCTTCCCACTGAAGTGGTACCTATTTATCTACTTGCAATTTCTTGCTTTCGAACTGCTAGGTTGGCAGGAGCGGGAATTAGAGACGGGAGCTCACTCCGTCATGTGGCAACTCGGGTCTCAAACTTGGATATTCTACTCAGGCAAAAAAAAAAGATTTTATATTTTAAAGTCTTTGAGATACAATTAGCAGACGTTCGGTGGTGAATTTGAAGCTGCTCAAGAGAAACCTCAGGAGAGAATTGGGAAGAGCAAATAAGATATGGGGCAAGAGGGGAATAAGTCAAGCAGGGACCACTATGATCTCAAAGGCTGAATTGAGAACCAGTTTGGTGTAGTGGTTAACTGCGCGGACTCTAATCTGGGAGAACCGGGTTTGATTCCCCACTTCTCCACTTGCACCTGGCTGGATGACCTTGGGCAAGCCGTAGCTCTGATAAGAGCTGTTCTCAAAAAAGAGCAGTTTCTGTCAAGAGCTCTCTCAGCCCCACCTACCTCACAGGGTGTCTGTTGTGGGGAGGGGAAGGGGAAGGAGTTTATAAGCCTCTCTAAGACTCCTTCGGGTAGTGAAGGCTGGGGTAGAAATCCAATCTCTTCTCTTCTTCCAGAGCTGTTCTCTCAGGAGCAGTCCTCCCAGAACTCTCTCAGCCCCACCTACCTCACGGGGCGTCTGTTGTGGGGAGGGGAAGGGAAAGGAGTTTGTAAGCCGCTC